AACCCAGCTCGCTTGCATTTGGCTAATCAGCATTTGCTTGTTACTAATGTGGTTGCTCCTGTGCATAGGGCAATAGCCGTGCCAAGCCTTATACCCACTTTCACTTCATAGAGAATCCCAAATAGGTGGATTTCTCCCCCCTGCTGTGGGCTTTCACCTGTTTTTGTCCTCAGCAAATTTTCAGTTTAATCACTTTATAGCCCTGGCGTCTGAATACTTGCAAGCATGAGTAGTTGCCTGAGGCAGGAGAAGGGAGCGTATTCAGAACCCTTAATGGGAGGCATCTAGTATGACCCAAAGGGAGGTCTTATACTTCAGGCCTTTGCCTCCAGAAGTGAGTCTGAGGTGCCCAGAGGAGCTGATAAGAAACATGTGAGCAGCCGTAGCAAAGCTGAGCACAGACATTTGATTATTTCTCAGTACTTATCAGAGGAAGCGTGAATCTCTCCCTAATTAAGAGCTAATGCCAACTTCTGTGAAATTTGTTGTCATTCACCTGTGAATTATCCTCCTCAAATTTAACTTGACTGCAGGAAGCCTGCTAGCGGTAACACTTTCCTCCGGGAGCTTAATTCGGATGGTAAAATGCCTCTGTAAGTTGCTTATTGAACGGGACTTGATGCTGGTGAGCCTTGGAGGCCTGGAAGGGCAGTTTGGGTGAGCACTTAAAAGTCTAGACAGTCTCCATCTCTCGGGTGTTTAAAATAGTGCTAGGGTCTCCTGGAAAATCCTCTTCCTCCCTAGATTTCCAGATTTGCATATTGCCAGCTAAGGCAGAAGAGCTGCTGGAGGAAAAGTATTCATCGCCGTCCCTTCGGTGCTTCTGCTTGCAGGCAGTCTGGAGAGGGGAGATGGGGACGTTTCCAAAAGAGGTTACACATTCAGAAGCCTGAAGTGAGGTTTCCTAATTAGTCAAAGCACAGGTAGCCTGCCCAAACAAGAAAGACAAGTATAATGTCCCTGCACCCAAGTCATTTAACTATTAACCCTGGAGGAGAGTAAGGAGATACCTAAAACAATGACCCAGTTAATTCTGCATGGTGTTTGAGCACAGGGTTATTTGTTGCTACCTGCGGGTCTGGTGATATCATCATCTGCAGGCTTGCAGCAGAACAGGAGGCCAATATATTTTTAAGTGGGATTTTAAGGTGGATTTGGCATGAACTCACCTGACACTGGTGTAATGCAATGACTTTATTCATCTGTTGCTTGTTTCTACTGACCTGGAGGCACATGGCCAAGCAGGGATGAGTGTTTGGGCATCGTGACCCAGAGCTTAGGTCCAAGACCCACAGCCAGACTTTGGAGCAGAAACCTGGCTTTTTATTCACCCTCCATAAAACACTACCCAATGACTCAAAACCTGAAAGACCCTTCCCAGCTCGGAGCCATGAATTTTATTTCAGCTCCCACTCCATGTAGGGTCCCAAGCGGGTTGGTTCAACTGTGGTCCCTTCCCCATACCCTTAGTGGCTGCGGACTTATCCTGCTGCCCTGCCTGCTGCTGTCTGCCAGAAGCTTTCTCTCTTTTTACCAGCAGTGAGAGAGGTTAAAAGCCTGTGGGCGGAGGCCAGCACAGAGTGCCCATTGTACATGCGTGCATACCAGAGCAGTAACTCCCTGGAATGCTGCACCGCCGAGCTTTTACCACCTTGTGTTTGTGTTGCAGCCCAGGAGTGTGTGTACATTGCGTCCCTCTCCAAGGAGATTAACAATGCGAAATGGCAGATAAATAGGATGGCCTTTTTTTTTTTTTTTGATTGGACCAGTTGGAAGAGGAAGGTAACCCTGACTCCCATTACCTCCATAGGCACAAAGGAGAGGTGAGGTACAAGGTTGGTCAATTAGGTGGAGCAGCTCCTTGCAACTGGGTGGCTTTAATGTACTAATTGCGTTAGTAATTAGCGACTACCACATGGTAAACACTTAGGTTCAAAACTATGTAAGGGCATTAACTAACCCACCCTAAAATGGGTTTGAATGAGGTAAGCATGATCCTTGTTTAACAGGCGGTGAAATAGAGCGACTTGCTGACCGCAGGGTGAGTCAAGGCAGGCGTACAGGAGTCCTTGGGTCTGTTAGTTCTTCAGGATCACCTTAAATGAGACCAGTGGCAGCAGCTCTGGGAAATGAGTCTCCTCCCTATTGCCAGAAGATGTGCAACATAAGCATAAGTGTTTTTATGGTGTACTTTTATCTACTATGAGCTACAGAAACCACCTCTAAGGCCAGATGGCAGTTCAGGCTCCATAATAGTTCTTCCTTTTTTTTTTTTCTTCTGTGCTTGGGCTGTCAGCTTGTGCTATTTATGGGAACTTTATTTGAATTTGTGTCTGCTGGGACCTGGGTGGAGGTCACCCAATGATTTCATGGAACTCTGGGATGCTTAGGACTTTCCATTAGTAGCCATATGTGCCAGGGTCAGACAAGTGACCCATGGCCATACTCCAGTGGAAATGTGGGTATATATAACTAATAAAAGGTGCTTGTTATTACTTCTTTTTGAATTTTAAGCTCGTGCAAGGTATTTTTAAAAAGCAGAAAGAAGCCAGGGGTACAAGGACATGTGATTTTTCTCGATGAGCTGTGCTTAAGTAGAGTAGTCTATGCTGATAACGCTCTTATGATTTGGTGATATGTAACAAGATCATTTTTATTTCTCCATTACGGTTTATTGCTACTAACAATGACCTGGGAAATCCCTGGCTGTGCTCAGATCTTGCTTGCAGTTGGTCGAGGGGTGCGGTTTGGCAGTGTAGCAGGGCTAATCTAGCAGGGAGCTACTGCTGAAAGGGTAGGTCTGCACGCCCAGCACCTACTCCTGGCAGTGCTGCCTTGTTTCCTTTTCTGTATGCCAGAAGTGATACTCCTCTGACCCTCCAGGGAGCTGTTTCTGCTAAAGTGGCAGAAAATACCTTTGTTTCTCTCTGAGATACTCTTCTGCTAATTTTGTAGCCTGAACTGGCTTGCCATGATGGGTGGTGGCTATATGGGGTATTTTAGGGAGGGTGTATGCAACCACCTCAACGGCTTTAAAAACACCCTATGTGTATTTTTTTTTAACCAAATGTTTGATATTTGGCTTAGCCTTCATGTGTCATTGGGTGATACATCTTTTGCCTCAGTTGAACATTATCAGCTTTTCCCATTAACTTTGGCCGAGACTTTGTAAGGTCCTAAATACGAATGCTTCCATCTCAAAGGGTTTGTTGTGGTTTAAGCCCAGCCAGCAACAAAGCAAAATGAAGCTGCTTGCTCACACCAACACCTTGGCCCTGGTGGGATGAGGAGAAAATACAAAGAAAAGCTGGTGGGTCAGACAAGGACAGGGAGGGATCACTCGCCACTTATGGTCACAGGCAAAAGACAGGCTCAACTTGGGGAAGAAACAAAATCAATTTAATTTACTACCAATCAAATCAAAACAAGGATATTAGGAGGTAAACCCAAACCTTAGAACACTTCCCCCCCCCCCCCCCCTTCCCCGCTCAGCC